CTGAACGAATATTGAAGCATACTTTTCTTACTTTATTACCTTTGGGGTTTTTGTTCTGGATTTTCTTTGGCAATATGGCAAATATGGAAATATCCTTGTTTCCTATAGACTTAAGGGTAACTTCTGAAGCAACTAGATGACTCAGTGTATAGAGCATCAGGCCTAGAATCAGGAAGATCTAAGTTCAAATCCAATTCCAGATACTATTTGAGCGACCCTGGGCAAGTCACTTAACCTCTGTTTGCCTCAGCTTTCTCAATTGTAAAATGGGAATAAAACACTTACCTTGCAGAGTTTTGTGAGGATCAAATGAGAAGATAGTTATAGTTTCAAGCGTAGTGCTTGAAACTTAATAGATACTCTGTAATTACTTATTCCCCTTCTCATTCACTGTAACTCTTTAAGCTAAAACTGATCTACCAATTGGTTAGATTGTATAGAGGATTATTGCTCAGGCACAGTTTGGACTAAGAAGCTGCAAAAGGGCTTTCCAACTCTTAGATTTTGTATTTAAGCTTCCAAATTACCATGTCTTTCTTGTTTGTCTAGTTCTACCATTCACATAACAAGAGTTAGTAAATGTAGAAAAAAAGGTAAAGGGTGAGCTCTATTTGGCTTCGTGGTTCAGTTTAGAACAAAGACCTGAGATCAAGGATTTATCGATTATAGAAGCTAATGCAAGCAAGAACTTTATTACTTTGTTACAGAAATTAGGCAAAATCAAAAGCACACACACACTATATGACAACACAGAGATACAGAGATTTGGCCACACAGGACTAGAATCACTCCAATAAGGGAGACAGGTACAGTGGCAAAATCTCTATTGGAAGTACACACTAAAAAGTAAGTTTTATACCTAAAAGTTGGGCTTAATTTAAAAGAGGTAATTAGTGCCAAATACGGTAGGGGATATTCCTAATTAGATCCAAATGTGGTAGGGGAATTCCCTGGGCATTTTTTCATTACCAAATTCAGATTGGGGAGCTTCCTAAATAGAACCAGAAACTGGACGGGAGGCCTAATCTGTAACAGGTATCTCAGAAATGGACAATCATCCAGGACCCACATCCAATAAAAAGCCACGATTGCCTTGACATTTAACAATGGCAGAATGACTCAGGCCAGTAGAAACAGACAGGTTGTCATTGTTTATATGTTTATGATCCTTAGGATCACTTAAACTAAGTAATTCGATGATGGAGTCCTATCACTGACTCTAACATCAAGCAATATATTTAAAAAATCATAATTATCAGAATATGAAAAGAGAAAAATATTTTAATTAATCATTTTTAAAAATTTTAATTGAACAACTCACCTTCCTTCCATGTCTATACCTTCCCTTTATGCACAATTCTTTCTGGGGGAAATATAGCCAGCCTCTCCCCAGGAAAGCAAATACAGGCACTTTGGAGATTTTATCCAGTCACATTCCTTCCTGGGAGGAAATGGACAGGAAGTGACCAGACTCTCACAAAGTTATGTAAGAAAATTTATATATGCAGCATTCCTTCTCCATCTTCCTTGATCCCTTCTTCAATGACCATATTTCTGAGCTGTCAGGAGCACATCATCTTTTTTCTCATTCTGCACCTTCTGTTCCTCTTGTTCTAATTAGCCACCAGAATTCCTGATCCCCACAGCTTCCTCTGGCTCCAGCATGGATACATCTGTTCTTCCCTTTACTATATACTGGAGATAGAAACTGAGTTTGTTGAAACCAACTTTCTAGCAACTAAATGAAATAAGGCAAACTAAGACCTATTTAAAGACGACGAATTATTGGATTCAAAACTTGAAAATTTTAAATTAATGTACCTCTAATCTAATTAGTATTGACCTTCACAGCTTCTTTGGAAAATGGAAGCTATTGTTATTTAACCAATTCCTCAGCCTGGCCCTGCTTAAGGTGCACTGATGTTATTTAAGAGAGAAATCCCCAGTACAGCTCACAGAGACTTCAGAGCAATACAACTTTCCTATCATTTTCATTTCCATTTGGTTCCAGTTCCGGCCTTTTCCTATAATATGGCATATTGGCTCAATATTTTTCAGCCCCTTTCTCCTTCTCTTGAAGTGCTCATTGTTGTCCACATTTTGAAAGTCCAGGCTCCTCTTTCCAAGTGCAGAGGCATTCTCTGTGTTTGTATTCTGCCTCCAGGCAAGGATGTATACCAAATTCCTGTCTACAATGATACACAGAAAATAATAATCTATTCAAATCCAACTAACAGTAAGGGAAGGCCTGTTTCCCAATCAGGACAAACAGTCTCACTCTCCCCGCATGAATGTCCTTCTATTTTTGGTTCTCTATTGATTATCATAATAATTCTAACCTCTTTTGCCTGGAATCCAAGGCCTTTTACCTTTCATATCCATCCCTGCATCTCCTTACTCCAAGCAGGGCAGACTAATCAATGCACCACAAACACATCAAGGTCTTTCCTGGACTTTTCACCATGTTGTCTTTTCTCTTATCATGCTATCTTCCTTCTTCCCCTCCCCTTGCATCTGGAAAAGTAACTAGCACTTACTTATTAAAGGCTTTGAATGAATTATCTCTCAGATTGACTAAATCCCAACTATCCTTCAAAACCTGACATCTCATTTCTATTATGAAGACTTTTTGAACACATGATACAATTTTGTTATTATAGTATTATACATTATAGAACCATATACTATATGCTATATAGTTCATGGATTCGTGTGTAATTTTATTTTTTGTTCTTCACAAAATGAGATTTTCATTTTGGATTATGTTTATTAAATTCATCAAAAGAAAGATTTTTTTTTAAAAGATGAGGATACAGTTATGGAATGCTGCATATATTGACAGACATCAGTGATGTATTGGACCATTTTGTCTAATTTAGTTTTCTCTGTTACAAGAGAAGGTTCTGCATGTGTATATGTGTGGGGGAGGGTGTGTGTGTGGGTGTGGATGTGGGTGAGTGTGTGTGGGCATGCACATGCATAAGTGTTGGGAGCCGGAGGTGGTCATAGGTCAGATCTGATCCTTCAATGGCTTGTATTTGTATAGAACTAAAAAATAAAACTTGAAACAAAAATAAATCCCTAAGGAATCTCACTCTCCCTGATCTGACATCCTGAAGCACTAAAGCTGCCAATGTAACTAACACACCTGAAGCTGTCTTACCTGTCATATTAATCATGTGTAGTGAGAAGAATCCTAGACTTGAATTGAGAAGGGACAAGAGATTGAATGCTGCCCCTAACATCTGCTAGCTACTTGACCATGTTACTTAATCTCAACAGCTCCATTTCCCTCATCCATAAAATTGGTACAAAAATACTTACACTTCCTATTACATGGGGTGGTTTTGATAAAAGTTCTATAGGTATGTGAGTTGTTGTTTTTGTTGTTTTCCATTTTACATATTATAATCCATGTCTCAGAATCAGTTCTGAGTTCCTCCATTGCAAGGGATAAAACTGGGGGGATCCTGCTTTCTGAATTAACATTTGAACTTATAAACTCTTGCTCTCACTCAGTCTCTCAAGGCTTTCATTTCAACTGGTTCCTCTCATTTTCCCCCTTCTCCCACCCTAAATGCATGCACAAAGACACATTTATATGGTGAATGTTTTCCAGGTGCAAATGTTTGAAGTGAAGGAATATCAGCAGCAAAGAATTTAGAACTCAGTCTTGCTCCTGCTCTGATAGGGCAAGTTTTGGGAACTGCCCTAACCTAATGCAGGGAAGTTCCATCTTCTTTTCTCTTCTGTCCTGTCCTGTAAAGACTCAAAGCCCTCTCTTTCCTACTGTCATTGTGGAACCTATTCAAAATCTTGATAGGTATCTCTTCTAAATTGTCTTATCCACATTCTCCCCATGTCTACCATCCATGAACCTTCAAAAAGTTAATTGTATTAATATCTTTTCTTTTATTTTTTTTCAGTTTCAAATTGTTTTCCTCCTTCCACCCTTCCAACACCTATTGAGAAGACAAGAAACAGGGTACCCATTATAGATATGTTGTCATACAAAGCTTTTTTGCACATAAACCATGTTCCAAAAAAATGCAAGAAAAATAAAGAGAAAAAATGTTTTGATCTGCACTCTAAGTCCATCAGTGCTCTTTCTAGAGGTGAGACTCATTTTTCATCAGGAGTCTTTTGGAAATGTAATGGATCATTGTATTGATCAAAATTACTGACTTTATCAGTTGATTATTTTTATAATATTGTTGTTACTGTATACACTGTTCTCCGGTTTCTGCTCACTTCACTTTGCAAATAACCATTTAATACATAAGATCACTCATTTTCATTTTTAGCACAGTCCCGACAGGTGTTTGAGACACTTTGAATTATTTAACATCCTAGTTACACTGACATGTTGAAAATTCTCTACTATCCTACTGAGGGTAGATTTCTTAAGGTCCATCATTACTTCTTTGGGGATGCCAGGCATTTGATTTTTATTGTAGCAGATAGCAGTCTCAGAACTACTGTTTATTAAATTCATATTTTCTGAATGGATGACTCATCACTAAATTCACTCTCTTCATTTTTTGGAACCAGATTGACCAAATATTTGAAAGATTTAGGCTACTAGTAACATCCATATTTGATTTTTTCCCCTTTTTCTGCTAACCATGGTCTCTTTTCCACATAAACCTCTTGAGAGGAGAAGTGGTCTTAAGCAGATTCCATGATTCCATATCATTGCCCATTAGATTGTAATCCAAGTCATCTGGTGAGTTTTGGAAAGAGAGAATATTTGTAAAGTGATTCTTTTGCATAAAGCCATTAGTCTCCACCCAAGATACCTGATATTTCTCCTTCTTCTGATATGAACTCACTTACAGTTGTTCTGTTTCAGCTT